ACCCCTGCGAGAGGCGCCTGCAAGGTCGGGGATAGGCAGTCCCGTCACGCGCCTGTGACGTGCCGGGCGGCCTAGCCTACACCTGCGAGCGCGCGAGCGGCACAGAGTCGATCTACTTGTACTCCTATAGTGTATTTCGACTAACGGAGGAAGAAGAATAGCGGGTAGAACATAAAGGTTCCCGATTGGTCGAGAGCTTCCCGCCTCTACGTCACGCCGGTAGTGGAGGTAAGCGCTCGGCCAATCAGGAACCTTCATGTTTTACCCGCTATTCTTCTTCCTCCGTTAGTCGAAATACACTATTCCCATCCACTTTTGACTACAGGGCACAAGACAATTTATCGGCGCTGGAGGCCCGCCTCGCGTCGCTGCCCGCGCTGGACTACCGCCTGGAGACGGTGGCGGCGCGTCTGGAGGACGTCGACAAGCGCCTGGAGCAGCTGACCAGGAACGTGGACGAGCTTCGCCTCGACGTGCGGCGCTCGGCGCACGAGCAGCCCGCCGTCGTGTCCCAGTTCGCCACGCGGGGAGCGCTGGCGTCGCTCAGAGTCGTGGAGAGGAAGTTGGACCGCCTGTCGAGGCAGCTCGTGGAGCAGCGCAGCGAGAGTGAGTGGCGCGAGGGAGGGAGAGAAACAGAGTGTCTCGGAGGACTCGACGTCTTGTGTTTTGCAGGGGGGCAGCGCGGGGGAAGTCCCTCAGAGGACGCCCCAGGCACGCTGCTCAAGCTGGATGGTGGCGGCCGGCTGCTCGTGCGCTGCCACACCGCCCCCGCCGCCCTGGACATCCTCAAGGACGTCTCTGCCAAGGTACGTGCTGGCGGCAGCCCTAACGCTGTGCTCGCTATCAAGACTGTACCGCTGGTGCCCGCAGGTGGACGTGCTTTTCGACCACAGCACGGTCTGTCGCGAGGAGGAGGCCGAGGTTGAGGCGGAGGCCGTGGGGGAGGCCGTGGAGGACGAGACGGACAACCAGGTCACCCGGCAGAGGTAGGTTCCCGAGGATCCTGAGGTTCCCGTGTGCAGTGGTGACGTTGTGGTCGGATGAATTTTTGACTTTCTCCCTCGACTTCCCCCCAGGCTGCGGCGTCGAGGCTGGGGCGCTAAAGGTCGAAAGCACGGCAACCATACCGTTAAAGCCGTGTCACCCGAGGTATCACCGTCGACAACCGTGGCCGGCAGCATTGCAGAGAGAACCACAGCATCACCCGTCGTCACAGCAAGGCCGACGCTGCCCTTTTTCTCCGACGAGACAGAGGACAGCAGGTGAATTCCGGGGTCTGACACTGAGGATACCGTTGGCTCATTATTTCCCGTGCCCTAATCAGAAAACGGCGAGGTTGCAGATTACGTTCAAACTGATCAATCTGGCCTAAAAACCGAGGAATCTATGATTAGCAGACTTGGGAAAGAATGAGCCCGTTGGCTGCCGCCCCATTGACTTTACTCTGCCGACCAGCGCGTCACCGTCGGAGGTAACCGCAGATTTGAACGCGGCAACGGTCACCGGGGATGAGGTCGTCCCCGTCACCACGGACCCCACGCCGGAGAATAGCCCGATGGCGTGCAGGGACAAGCTGGTGCGGGCGCTGGGCGAGCTCACCCAAGTCGTGCAGGCACTGGGGATACTGCCCGCCGTCCCTTCGACCGCGCCCGGACCGACGCCCGCGTCGAGGGGCTGTGAGGATCTCGTCGACGAGCCTAGCGGAGAGTACGTGTTCGACGACCACCGGGTGTTCTGCGACATGGACACGGATGGAGGCGGTTGGACGGTGAGCTGTGTGGCGAGGTGATGCGGCGACGGTGGCCGGGGAGGTGGCGTGGCACACAATTTCTTGATCCAGGTCGTTCTGCTAGTGCGGGGAGTCGTACAATACAAAACGATGTATTTGCATGCTTCAAGGGGTGCGGTCCTTGTTATACGGCACTGCATTTCAAGAAACTCGGGGTAGTGAATTGACGTGTTTGGAATCTCAATCTTTTCCTGAGGGTGTGCCATGGTGCACGGCTTGCAGGTGGTGCAGCGCCGCGGCGACTGGGGGGAGCCGCGGGAGAACTTCAGCCGTTCCTGGGCGGAGTACGCCGAGGGCTTCGGGAGCCCGTCAAAGGAGTTCTGGATCGGCAACAAGTGGCTGCACAGGTAAGGGGTGGGTGGGGTGGTGGCTCATGTCAGCCGCGGCCGGGGAGGCGAGGCGACCCTCACCAAAGACCGCCACATCGCAGGCTGACGGCGGCCCGCAACGTATCGCTGCGCGTCGACCTGTGGGACTGGGAGGGCGAGAGGGCCGTGGCCGAGTACGGCGTGTTCCGGGTGGCCGCCGAGGACGACCTGTTCCGCCTGACGGTGGCCGACTACTCGGGGAACGCGACGGACGCCCTGGCCGCGCACGCGGACCGCCCCTTCAGCACCCGAGACGCCAACCACGACACAGCGCCGGCCTGCTGCCCCTGCGCGCCGGCCTACAGCGCCGGCTGGTGGTTCTATAGGTCGGTATGCCACGCCAGTCTTAACTCCTTTTCAAGTACATTCAGCATAGTTTTTATTTTTGTGTGCGTTTTTTTTTTGTAGCTGCTTTGAGGCGAACCTAAACGGCGAGTTCCACACGCACCCCGAGGAGAACGAGTACTACCGGGGCATCATCTGGGAGGGCTGGCGAGGCGACTACTCGCTCCGGGCCTCCTCCATGATGATCAGGAGCCACTAGCTGCCGCTCCGTGGCACTTTATAGTACTTGGACAGGAGCTCTCTATGGAGTAGTACTGCTCCATAGCGAATATGGGGGTGCACTGGAAATAAAGATGAATCGGTAGCAATAGGAATAAGTGTGTCGTGTTTTACTAACTGTACAAGAATACTGATGTCCGCACCTACAACGCCCTGCAACTCGGGCATTCTCACAGCCCCACCGGTCTCAGCACGACCCATACAAACACATGTCTTTTCCGTGATGGCATTAAGCGTCACGCGGATGCCGCGCGCGAGTTTTAAACCGGCGTGCTGTTATGACAGGCCTTAAAACTGGCCATTTTATCCGTACGATTGCGTTCGCTACTCGCCGCCGGGCCACACAATGCCCTCGATCCAGGGCAGGAAGTGGTAGACGCGCGAGTACACCCCGCCGCCGCCGCACGCCTGGCCGAACGACGTGATCCCCACGATCTTCCACATGCAGTAGGGCTCCACAGAGTCGCGCGAGTAGTTCTTGGGCGCCACCTGCAGCGGGCCGCCCGAGTCGCCCTGGCAGGTGTCCAGGCCGGAGCCGCCCGCGCACAGCTGCATCTCGGTGTTGATGCCCTGCGGCAGCTTGATCTTGGTCACGCTCGAGAAGGCCTTCTTGCACGCCGCGGGCTCCGACACGCGGAGCGCCACCTTGAGCAGGTGGCTGCTGGCGTCTCCCACTGCAACACAAGCGGCGCGCGGGTCACCATCCAGCTCATAATAGGGTTATCCCATTTAGCTAATGGATTAGCTAACTTGGCGAGCTCACCCCAGTCCGTGTTGCCCCAGCCGGTGGCCACGGGCAGCTCGTCCTTCTCGTTGCCGGCGCGCGGCCGCAGGGTCGGCTCCGTGTACAGGCAGGCGGGTCGGACGTAGCCGCTCATCCTCGCGTTCCGCTCCAGGCGCAGCAGCGCGATGTCGTTGTACGTGGAGGGCGGCCGGTAGCCCGGGTGCTTGAACGTCTGCGCGATCCGCAGCCGCTGCGGCTGAGCGTCGTCCGCCTCCGTGGAGTAGTCCAGCTCGCCCAGCAGCACCCAGCGCGCCTCCCGGTCGCTGCGAACAAACCCGAGCATGAGGGCTACTTTCTGCCCCCTCCCGCACCCCGTCGGCTATACCGACACGACATGTGTCCTGGTGCCTCACCCCGCGACGAGGCAGTGGCCCGCCGTCAGGACGAAGTTCTTGGAGATGAGCGAACCGCCGCAGAGCCAGTCAATGGAGGGCTCGTCGCCGTAGCCGATCAGGGCCTGCAGGCAGAGAGGAGAGTACTCGTTGAGGTATAGTGTTGATAGTGCATCGTAGACGCTCTAGCAGTTCAAGCGGCGCCGGATGACGACGGATCAATTCGTGAGTCGGCTCGGATCAAGTCCTTCCCTTCCCTACCCAGACACCGGGAGACGCTAGGCGTCCACACGTGAGTCACACGTGGTCCACACTTGGCTGGCTCACGAGTGGCCGAGCTGGCCGCACGTCGGGAAATCCCGCGATCCCACGGCACGCGGCCCGCTGTTGGCCAATCCCGCCCACACCTGCCGCCCGCCGCCCGCCGCAAGGGAAAGGGGGAAGTCATGAGGGAGGAGAGGGGCAGCCTACAGCGCCGGATTCATTTACAGGTTGTATCGCAAAGAAAAGACAATTGTGGCATCCGTCGCCCGAGTCCCGGGACAATGGTTTGGAGCGCTCACCATGTGGGGGAACTCCATGGCCTTGGCCAGCGACCCCCCCACGATGAGGGGGTCGACCGACCTGGCGCACAGGTCCTGCCGCTCCGTGGCCAGCATCAGCACGGGGGAGTCCACCTCGGCGAACACGTACTCGGCGTACTCCTCGCATTCTGACGCGGAAGGGCAGAAGAAAAGAGGAGCGGATTTGGTTCACGGTTTTTCAAAGAGTTGGAGCATCTCCCTGCTCTGCGGTCTCTCTTACTGGACTTGGCCACGCGGCCGCGGACCCCGACGGCGGCGACCTGTGCTGCGCTGGACGCGGCGGGCGCGGGAGTGGTGGCGGACGTGCCCGGGCAGCAGGCGAAGGGCCAGGGCCCCTGCAGGAAGCAGATCTTGGGCCGGCGGCCGCGCTTCACTTCTTCCACGGCCCAGGGGCAGGAGGTGAGCCGCTTACAGATGCCCGGCGCCCCCGCTGCAGTCTCACACTTGCTCCCTGCAGACAAGGAAGGAAGGGGCTTCAGAAAACACGGTTTAGGCCCAGGGGTTGGGTGCCTTGTGAGAGGAGGGTGGGTGCACTAAAGGATTGAGACGGTCAGTTCGTAAAACTTTATTACTGACTCGGTTACAGGTCACTATACAGGCAGGCAACATTAATTATCCAGTGCGTGTGAACGTTGTGCAAGTCTTTTTATGAGCTTCCCCTTTTGCGTGGAAGATGGAGATCAGTCAGTATTACCTGAAGCATGGCGGCCTTATCACAGGAAATTCGAAAAAATGTTAAATTTTATCACTAATATGACTTGAATAAGTATTATCAATAGGATATTCCAATAGAGCGTGGAGTGGAAGGAAAAAGAACAAAAACGGAGGGTGGAAAAGGCGCCCGCACTCGCACTCCTCCCCGCCAGCCCTTAACTTCTCCCTGGGCGCATCCTCACTTCGGGAGAGGAGAACGGCGCGGGCGCCTTTCCACCTTCCGTCTTTGTTCTTCTTACTACCGCTACGCGCTCCATTCGAACACCCTATACGACTTATCACTTAACCTAAGAGCAGAACACAGAACCTAACTGGGTCTATATTGCACAAAACGCTCACATCTGTCTTTCATCAATCACCACCACTTCTAACAATTTAAAATTCTAATTATAAAAATCGCAGTAAACGGACGTCGGACTCGTGTCGCTTGCTCACTCGTTGGGCCACACGATGCTCTCAATCCAGGGTACGTAGGTCGAAACTCTGGTGTAAATGGCGGGCGAGTTCTTGAAGCCGCACGCCTTGCCAAAGGACGTGACGCCAATGACGTGGTGCATACAGTAATATGGGTCCTCGGTCGTGTACAGCTGAAGCGGACCGCCAGAGTCGCCCTGCGAGGAAACAGCACCGGGGTTGGTTCGAGAGGACAATAGTATATCGAACAACATCATCGACACAGGAGGTCCGCGACGGGGGCGATTTTGGCGTGCCGTAATGGTACCTGACAGGTGTCCTTGCCACCCTTGAGGTCACCGGCGCAGAGCTGCCCTTCGTCCAGGATGCCGAGGGGCAGCTTGCGGTCCACGTTGGCCCTGTAGGACTCGTTGCACACCCGGTAGGGCTGGACGGGCAGCCGCACCTTCATCATGCGGTCACTGGGGTCGCCGGCTGCAAATTCACATTTTCTTTTCAGAACATGCACATTGGCTGAAATTTGTCATTAACCATTTCCTTGGTTATTTTTTAAACGTGTTCAAAATATTTCCAGTGGTCGTTGGAAATATTGAGGGGTACTACTCACCCCACTCCGTGTGGCCCCAGCCGGTGGCGACGGGGACCTTTCCCGGGGGCGGGGCCCGCTCCGTGAACAGGCAGGCGGGCCGCACGTACGCGGTCATGGTGGCGGCCCTCTTGAGCCGCAGCAGCGCGATGTCGTGGTAGTGCTGCGGGGGCTTGAAGTCCGGGTGCCGGATGAGCTTGTCCACCTCCAGCAGCTGGGGCCCGTCGTCATCGGCGTCCGTGGAGCGGTCCAGCTCGCCCAGCAGCACCCAGCGCGCCTTGAGGTTGCTGCAACACGCAGACGTCTCCGATTCACCGGCTGCCACCGCCGAGCAGACGTCGCTGTGTCGCGGGTTTGCCTATTGCAAGGCGGCATGGCCCCTGCGGCCGAGCGTATAGGCAAACCCGCGACACAGCGGCGCGCGCTCGGTTGCAGAGGCGGTGAGCATCGCCACGACGGCACCCGCTGCGACTCTGTCCCGCGCTGTCTCCGGACTCACCCCGGGGTGACCAGGCAGTGCGCCGCCGTGAGCACGTAGTCGGGGGCGATGAGCGAGCCGCCGCACTGGTAGCTGATGTCGTCCCTCTCGCCGTAGCCTATCAGGGCCTGCAACACGGAGCCGCGGCGGCGGCGCGCGGCGGCGGTGCGTCAGAGCCGAGTGTGACGTCAGCTATCAGGTTTGTCCAACCAGCCGCACCCGCCCCGCCCCGCCCCGCCCGCTGTGCAGCAGCTGTGTCGGGCCGGCGCGGAGCAGCGCGGCAGCACAACTCTTTTGTCTCAAAAACGAAAGGTGGCTGACTGCGGTGCGGCGGCCGGTCGGCGTCTCCGACTCACCATGTGCGGGAACTCCTTGGGGTTGGCTTCCTCGCCACCCACGATGAAGGGCTCCCCGGGGTTGGCGCACTGGTTGATCTTCTCGGGGCCGGCCAGCGCGATGAGCGCGACCGACTCCTCCTCGCGGTACACGTACTTAGCGTAGTCGGCGCACTCTGGTGGAGCAGAGCGGGTGAGCGGGGTTCACGACAGGAACAACAGGATTCCAGGAGTTGAAAAACGTTTGGGAAGCGTAAAAGCTTACTTTTCTTGGCGACCCTTCCGCGCTGGCCCACGTTGGGCCTGGAGGTCGGCCTGGAGGTGGGTCTGGAGGTGGGCCTAGAGGTGGGCCTAGAGGTGGGTCTAGAGGTGGGTCTAGAGGTGGGTCTGGTGGGCCTAGGCTCGTCGATGGGCTCCGAGTGGCCAGAGGGGCAGCAGACGATGGGCAGGGTGTTGCTCCAGCCGCAGATCTGCGGGTACTTGTGGTTGTGCACCTCCTGTTCTGCCCAGGGGCACTGCGTCAGCTGGCGGCAGATGCCGGGCCTCTTCACCACCTGGTTGAAGCAGTCGCTCCCTAGAAGAGACAACACATTGGATCAGTGGTTCGTGCTCGCCCGCGGGGCCCGCAGGGAAGCGCGACCGGGCGCGGTGTCCTTCCAGCAGCCGCTATCTGCCGCGGGAGGAAAACTTTCAATGGCAACACATGGTGTCCTGGTCGTGAGGCTCCATTGCCCACTGCGATAGCACACAGAAGCTCTTGGCAGTCAGTTGGAATAATAAGCGTGTTAGCGTTATAAGTACGGCAGGGGGAGGGCACCGCCACACGGACCTCAGGCACACCGCTCTACCGCGCCCGAGAAGCCTTACATCAAAGGAAACCTGCCCGCGCCCCCGGAGTGCCCGGGTCACAGCCCCATGAAGCAGAGCCCAGGACAGTCGGTATAATCAGCAAAGGCGGACAGTTAGTTCAGCACAGGGAAGAGAGCACCTCAGTACCCCCGGGAAAAGAAGACATACCTCGCATTTCGCAGAGACTTCAACGCCATCGGGGGCGCTAAGGACAGGGAGATGGCGGAAAACTATGGGGTTCAAACACTGCAGGCGTGTGAAGGTATATACCAACCCAAGGAGAGCCACCTCATGGCTGAACGTTTGGTGGCGGTGGCACCGATCGATAGGGTTCTGCTTTTGGGGTTGTGATTCCTGGCACTGGAAAAATCGCGATATAACAAACGTACGAAAAATAATGACACCCTGGTATTTAAGTGCAGTTTTTCTTCAGAACCACACACGCAATTTCTTGTTCGTGTTAAATGACCTTGAAATTAAGTTTGAAGTTATAATAAGCAGAAACATGCAGTAAATTGATGTCAGAAATGCGGAACGGTAAGGAGGTTCTGTTGTGTAGAAGAAATATGCAAGGATTCGTAGAGTTGAAACTAATGAAAGTGGCCAAATTTGTTTGGGGTCAATTGACTAAAATACTTTAAAACCTGCCCATAAAACAATACGTCGTCGACCGGCTTACTAAAGCAGACCAGACACGATGCAGGCCTTGGTGGTGTGGCGAATGTCAAAGCTCCATATCACCCTGCCAGCAAAAGCAGACAGCCGAGCGACACCCAGCGCTAGCACCCCACCGCCACAATAACACATTAGGAATTCAACTGAAAGGCGTCCAAAGAGAGCGTGTGGCTCCTCGATACATTTTTTGGACAAGGTCTTCTTGGTGTTGATGTTGTTTAGTTTGATTGTGTTTACACCGTCGAAGTGTTCTAAACAGCCCACATGAATATCGTGGGAGGGAAGAGGAGGTGGGATGCAAATCTATATTATTCACGAAGGAGAGAAAAGTGACACGCACATTCTCGGTAGGTGTTGTGTGTTTTCGCCACACGGAGGTAATCGCAGCGCGCTGGATCTTCCCTCTTCCCCCCTTCCCCCCTTCCTCCTGGGTGTCGTCCTCTGCCGCTCCCGCGCCCGCGCTCGCTCGACGCGTACAGTACATGCGCCGAGTGCGCCAAACCTATACTTCTTCCCGGGGCGGCGGGCCTCGCGGCTCTACGCCTTCTAATTTACCGCGACGGTCCCCACCGCGCGGAGTATCGTCGGCCGCACGCGGGGCACGCGGTGTCGAACGGTACCTGTGCCGCGCGCCCCCGGGGCACCTAAAGAGCAGCAGCGATAACTCGAGAACGCAGTCGGGGACGCGAAAAACACGGCGGCGGCGCACGGAAACATGGAAATCGCGGGACCACCGTTGCAAACGGAAAGGCGGGGAGGATTAACAGTTCAACACAACGACCAGTCGATCAGCTCCGGCGCGCACCGTGTCTTGTTGGTTGGAGAGCCCCCCGGGGGTGGTGCGGGGCGCGCTCAACTCACCCTCGTACAGCTGCTGCTGGGCCTGCGCCAGCCCGGCGAGCGCCAGCACGAGCAGGCACGCCAACATGACGGCCGACTCGTCACGCTCGTTCACACTCGGTGTCACGGTGGTCACGCTCGCCTCACGTCGGTTGGCGGTGCGGCTGCCAGTTCGCTACTGAGGCGAGTGAGTGGAGCGGAGTGAGCGGCGGGTCGTAGCAGCCGCCCGCCCCGCCCCGCTCTGCCCCGCCGCACCGCACCGGCAGAAGACGACAGGCCGGCCAGCCGGTCTTGGTCTGGAGCGCTCGCGCGGCGCACGGCACGGCTTTGCTGGCTTTGCCGGCCCCGCCGGGCGTCTCTGTCGTGCTCTGTCGCTCCGCGGGGCCGTGGCCGCGGACGCTCCGGGAGGGAGCAGGACGGGTGCAGGCCGGCGTGCGCCCTGGACCCGGGCCCGGGGAGGATGAGGGGCAACGCGCTCGTCGGGTTGTTGACGGCGAGCTCCCTGTGTGTGAGTGTGTGAGTGTGTGCGTGTGAATGCCTTTACCCCCCCCCCC